CTTCCATGGAGCTCGTGCCCAAGCTAATTACAAATCCTCACGCTTCTTCAACAGTCTTATATTCCAAACGCACTCGGAAACCAGAAAGCTTTCGAATTCCAATTCAACTATATATTATACACCCATTCACAATAAAGAACCTGGCTCTGCTTCTAAAGATCCAAATCCGAGAATCGAATCGCTTTGTTTCGTCCGCCACAAGAAAGCGTTTCGAGAAGACAGTGAGCGGTTTCTTGCACTCCGTCTCTGAGAATGGCATCGCTGGGCCTTCAATTCGGAGGAAGTCGATGCTTCGATATTTGCCAAGACAATCTCTGCAGTCCCTCGTCCAATCAGAGGCCGTGTGGTGCGATGATCCGCAGCCGCACCGGATCAAGGGGTGCGAGAGTGAATTCATTGGGCGAGTTTGGAAGCGGTGCCCCGACAACGGCGTCGCGGCGGTGGACAAGGAAATAGTGCCGAGACGGCGGCGGCGGCGTATGAGAAGTTGGACGCGTGGATGAGAGATTCGGTGGTGGAGATCGTCAAGAATCTTAGAGAAGCGCCGCTGTTGGTCAATGTGTACGGGAAGGGCAGTAGGGACGAGAAGCCATGGATTGAAACGGAGAAGGGGGTGGAGGAAGAGAATTGGGAGGTGCTCAGGCGAAAATGGGAGGGTGGGGTGGCGCCGTTTCCTGACGGCGTTATCTTCGTTGAAGAACTCATGGATGATGATGAAGGTGAAGGTGACCGGAACAGGGACGGAGATGGGATCACGCGGGCATGGGGGCTAGTGGTGCAGGGGAAAGGGGAGGAGTGTGGGCCAGCGTGTTACTTGTTGAAGACGAGTAAAGTAAAGGCCGGGTCGGGTTGTGGGCTGGGGATGGGGTTGGGCTGTACTCATTTCTGCTTGGTTCGGGTCAATAGTTTCAGGGAGACGGCCCAATCTCAGCTGAAGAATTGCTGGCTATTGCAGGCCCTGCAGGCCCAGGCCCAATGATACTCTAAATCCAAACTCAATTAATTTGTAAATCAAAATACCAACTTAGAAGAGCACCAGATTAATTTGATGCTCACTTAAATCATATTAATTCATTCATGGTGTACAGTACTGTAATTGTACAACTCATAACCATGATGATATATGTACATTGAGAAGGAAGCATTTCACTGAAACACACAAGTGGATCAATTTTTTTATTTCTTCCTTTCTCTGGAGTCTCTGACATTTTCCTTTGTGTGAAGGAATTTGCATGATGTACGTGGTGACTTGAGAAATTTATGAGTTTATTTTTATTTTATTAGTTAATAATGGACTGATTTTGATATGTTTTTATGTTTTATGATGATATCTCATTACGAAATCTTATCCACAATGGAGACACCACACATTCAACAAAACATAGCAATTTACGCAATTTTGATAACAACTTTTTATTGATATTAAATTAGCATCCATGAAACAAAATAATGTTGCTTGGTAACTTTGTAATCTTCTTTCATACAACACAAACAAAAACCTTAGGATAATGATTCATTATTGAAAATAAATTGTACTGAACGAACACTCGAACAATAATCTTTTCAGTACAAAGACTCAAACAATAATATTTTGAGAAAACTAGATGATAATTTTCCTAATTTATCACCACATTTATACTACATTACAAGGTAAATGAATATGTCCAAAAAAATAAAGGGTAAATTAATATGGCATGATATGGGTAATTATTATGTCAAGGGCAAAATAAAATCTTTTTCGAGGCAACCAAACAGGGCTTATAGCATTACGGTAGAACGCGTGGGAAAAAACAAGCACGGCGTTTTCCCTTTTGGGCCTAAAATAAAAACCGAAGTCCCTCCAACGTGTTTGAATAACCTGTTTGAATTTGAAAGTACCCACGTTGTTGTTGTTAAGCCTCCTCTAAATTACAATTTAAATTAAACCACGAAAGAGCAAGGAGCCGAACAAAACTAGACGAACAGCCTTTGTACTAGTGAGAGCGCGCTCTTCTCTTTCTTCTGCAAAATTCAAATTGAATATCAAATAATAAAAATTCCCACGGATCTGCTACACAAAACTTCAAAACCCTAACCCACCAACCCCTCTTCCCTCTCAAGCTCAACCTTCCATTCTGGTTTGCTCCCTCGGGGAGGTCCAAAGATTCATCATTTCAGCACTTACCCTTTTCGTTTTTGTTTCAAAAGTTTACAAATTTTAGCGCCCATGAGTCAGATTTAGTGGTTCTTGCAAAAGGGTCGGTTTTTAAATTGGTGTATTTGAATTGGGTTCAAAGATTATGGAAGACCGATGTGATTCAGGAAAAGGGTTGGTCTCGATACCCAGATCGGATTCAAAGGTTGGTTCTTTTTCCTGCGCTTAGTTTGCATTTGAGGGAATTTGTTCTCTAGTTTTTGTTCATTTCACTGGTTTCTGATTTTTTATTTTTTGGGTTGTTTTAGACTGTTGGGGAGAAGCGGGTGAGTACTGAATTGGGACAAGAACGTGACTTGGGTTCTCGTAAGCGGCTTAAAATGCGAGATCTTGAATCTGTTTGCCGGTCTGAAGGTATTTACTATGAATATTTGAAAATTTTCTTGTTTCTGTGCGGCTTCTTTTTAATTGAATTTTTTGGTGTCGAACGTGGTCTTCCTTATCGAATATGATTTTGCATTTTTGGCGCTGAAAAATCTTTCTTAAATATATTTAGTTTCAATTTCTTTGCATAAATATGCTTTACATTTAGACTCTATTTAAAACGTTGGTGCACCCAGTTTATGTAGTTTAGAACTATAACAGAGAAGGTATAAAATTACTCAGAGGTAATGATGTCCAAGGCTCTACGGACATTCATATCATGGGGTTTACATTTGCTTTGTTTTTGTAAATAATTTACGTTCTATTTAAACTCAAATTGAAAAGGTTCTTTTGGTTTGTATTTGGAGTGGTTTTGGGTTCAATACTAAGCCCTATTTTTCATGCCACAGGAATTAATCCCCATCATACAAAATCCTTGAAAAACAAAGAATCAAGTGGTCAGTTTCAATCCAGTGGTGAAGAGATGTCTCAAGTTACTGAGGTGCCTATAACTTTGGATTTGGATGCTTCTCAAGCAGGAAAAGCATGGAGTAGGACATTATCAGTAGCGGTCAATCCTGCTTCTAGACCACTGGATCTCAATACAGACATGTGCCTAGCCAACAATACAGTTCAGGACGACAGTCAGCAATGCCCTGAGAGTTCTGGAAAGATCACCTTGCTTAGGGATCCTAGTAATTGTGTAAATGAAAAAGGCATCCGATTGGACCTCAATGCAGAAGATGCTTCAATTCCAGAAAATCAAGATCCATTTTACCCTTATAAAAATACCAATCACTTGAAGCCAAGAGCTGTGTCTGAGTGTGGGAGCTGCACTGGGCCATTGGAAGAGAAGGATTCAATGAGAGTGTGGAAGGAGATGAAGCAAAATGGTTTTCTCTCATCTACTCATGGAGGCATTCCGATGCCAAAGCAACGGACCAAGAAAAGTAAAAATGAAGAGCTCAAGAAAAAGATGGAACGTGCAAAGAGGGAACAAGTGGACAGGTTCGCAAAGATTGCTGCTCCAAGTGGACTACTCAATGAACTGAACCCTGGGATTATAAACCATGTGAGAAATAGAAAACAGGTCCGTTCAATCATAGAGTCCCTTGTAAAATTTGAAAAACTTGAAAATGACCGTGTGGGAAACATGCACGCAACCCATCCGAAGAGTGGAGCATGTGAAATTGGGAACAGGAAGGACCTGCAAAATATGAATGAGTCCGGAGTACATTTCTGTCATGGAAGTCGGCATCAAAATACTTCCTTTGAGGGCGGGCAGACAAGAGGGTTCCCTATATCCATGAATAGATCTTTTATTCCACAGGACAAAGGTGGAGATGGTGAACGAACCACAGTAGATAGGTTTAGCGGTAGAAGGTTTATGTCACACTCTGTCCTTGAAAATGAGGAAGATACGCTAGCATTGAAGTTGCCATCATCAACTAATGCATCTGAGGATGATAGCCCTTTGTCTGATGAAGAAACAGCATCTTATCTTTCTATTAAAGGTGATTATTTAAAATTTTGATCTTAAATGTTTAATACTTTAAATATGCCATGCCTTTAGGAGTTGTTTTATGAATTTATAAAAGTGGGTTAAGTAGTAGTCAAGTGATGATTGGGGGAGATCTTACATGTTGAAAAAGGTGGATGTGGTAGCTGATGTATGTTTTCTTTTTCCTTCTTTCTTTTTCAGCTGCTACCATTGCTTCTCAATGGTTGGGACTTATTCTTCAAGACATCAAAGGACGTCTTGCAGGTAACGCTGTGTCTGTTAAATCACTAGTGGATCTTGTTGGAATGGATCACATCCTTACGTGTACTCTATTCATGTAACTGCAGCATTGCGACGCAGTAGGAAGAGAGTTCGAGATGTAATAACTACAGATTTACCATCATTATTATCAAAAGAGTTTCCCTCTGATCAGGAGAATGATCCTTGTATCACGAAAAATTCCACTGGTGGATTTCCTAGCTGTACTATTGCAGACATGCATCGGGCAAGATGGAACCCGTTGTTTGAGCAAATGGATAAAGCACTTTCTGAAGAAGAGGATCAACTTGTGAGTAGTATAACAGCATTTTAAATAGATGAAGTTGCTCTGTGAATAGTATCACAGCATTTTATTTTTCTTATTTGAATATTTACATGCAATTTTCTTATATTTGGTTATAAATTTCAGGAAAGTTGGTCAAACCAAGTAAAAGAAATGCAGCTTCATTGTGACCAGGGCCTTCAAATTGTTCAATGGAACACTGCTTCTGGCAGTCAACAATTGGGAACATCTGAAAATGATCCCAGGTAAAGCTTTTTATTAGCATCAAATTTTCCTGTAGTTACTTTTGCTTTCATAAATCTTCGATCTAACGCACGAATGGCTGGATGGTCTTAATGTTTAGAAGTCAAATTCTTCTCAAAATTGCTTACAAGTCAAATGGTAACTTCATGATTTTCAACTAAAGTAAATGTTGTAATTATATTATTCATCTTTATGTTTGTCTTGCAGATCACATATTTTGGATAACTCAGATAGGGCATTAGCTGTCAGGGCTGCTGCGGCTTCGATTTATTCAACATGCAACTTTCTTTTGTCGACAAATGTACCCTGTTTCTGAGCTTGTTCACTACAGTCCTTCCTCTCTTCAATCTTTGTCTAATTAAGTTGACCTTTTTTTTTTTCCTGCTAGTGAGCAATCAGCAAAATCGTGATTAGGTTTATAAGGCTTTGCTCAGTATTTTGAGTCTGTAACATCAGAAACGGAGGTCATGAATCTGTCAGCTTTATCTAGAGTGGCAGAATACGACTGTTACAATTCCAATTGTTGAAATAATAAAGTCTTGAGATTTACTCCTTTGCTAGTCGTTGATTTTCAGGTTCTGTAATTCACTCCCTCTTGGCTGAATTTTGAATCCATTTGACAGTTTGTTGCTAATGATGATGATTTGATATATCAGAAATTGACAGTTTGTTGCAAGATATTTCTATAAGAGCCAAATCAATAAAATCGGTTCAAAAAACATGACAAAACATGAACTTGGAAAAACATGAGGTTGCAGGCCAATCGCCGCATTCTGGGATGGACTTGTACGTTTAAGTTGAGTTGAGTTGAGTTATACAAAACATAAAACATCAGAAGTCAGAAGACTCGGAACGCACTAGGATCCCACAGACCAAAAATGCTTTATATAAACTTATACAAAGACTTAAATACAACGTTGCTCAAAGTGAAGAAAAATGAATACATATTTTTACAATCTAAATTATAGCCTTTTCTCAAAGCTGCTGTGACAAGGCTTCTATATAATTTACAAGGCCTGCATATGATCGTGTTTGCTTGTAATGAAATACAACTTTTAAGTAGGGGCAGAAACTTCTTAAACAACAAAGTTAGTTATAGCTTGGCATAATAGGCAACAAACTATTACGGCCTCACATTTCCTATTTCTGTATGTACGCCTAGAGCCAGTTAGGTCCCATCTTGCTTGACATTGGCTTAGATGAGGGTTCATCGGATACCTTGGCAAGTGACCGGTACTGCAATTTTACACTCTCTGCATTATCCAATGTCTTTACCACATACCTGTTGATGCAATTTGTACAATGAAAACAAATCTAAGTCAGCATCTCATTTGACAAAAGAATGTGACGCAAGAATGTAAGGTGGAACATTTCTTGATAAATTTTTAAATTGTTATACAAAATAGGAAGAAAACTAGAAAATGACTAACCATCCATTTAAGCATTGTGTTGTGACAACAGCCTCGCGCCCCACAAAGCGCTGCGGTGTCCTCTTATTCCCCTGCGACATTTCACTCCAATTATTAGTTAGAACAAACAATTGAACAAGAATTAGAGCCAAAGATTGGGACTTTGCTCTGCTAACCTTTATAATAACTCGGTCTGTCACTACAAATGGAAACTGAACACCTCTACCCCTCGGAGTGTCCACGAGAACTGAATCACTGTAACCACCCTTTTCCTACAGGAGAAGAAAAAAGGACTTAGTCTCAAGCTTTTGATAATAGTGTCCTAATGATGTCACCATTTCTGAAGACAAACCTGGTCAAACCTTTCTCTTCTTCTTTTGGATGAGCGATAAAATTGTAACTCTTCTTCCCGGCGGAATGCCAGCACAGCAGCTCGAAGAGCTGCACATATAAGACAAAATAAGTAATACTAGAGTGAGTTCTGTAACATACTACACTTTGTCATCTGACGGTTATTCTTTCGTCCTTTCTCTTGAGCTATAATAGCCTCAAACCATGATCTTCCCACTTAAATGT